GAATGATGGTTTCCATGGTTGATATCCCTAGCATAAAATAAACCTGAATTGGTTTTCTTAAATATTTGTTTCATGTCATAACCTTTGCTCAATTAGTTGCCATGATAAGCCTACTTCTCTCATACCTTTCCACACTTCTATTGGGATGCCATCAGGTCTTTACATCTTTCCCTTCATCTTGTTTAGTGCTTCATCAAATTTGGTAATTCTAATTTTATGAAGGTATATGTTACTTTTAGTACTATTGGAGTTACTAATCGCTCCTCCACTAGCACCTTCTACATGTTTTTCATTTAATAATTTTGCAAAATCATTCTCCCTTATTTACTGATCCTTTATCAAGGCTCATTTGTCTCCTCCACTAGCACCTTCTACATGTTTTTCATTTAATAATTTTTCAAAATCATTCTCCCTTATTTACTAATCCTTTATCGAGGCTCATTTGTCTTCCTCTTCATTGCATCTAACTTGATTTAAATCTTTCGCTTCTTTTTTCCTCATTCTTGCCAGTTTATAAATTCCATTCTCTCTAGTGTCTAACTTTTGATAGTTCATCATATGCCTTAAATTTAATGTCCTATAGAGATCATTTCCTTTAGTGTGAGGGGGCTAGAATTATAAGGCTGCAATCGGATCGAGGTCTAATTGAATAGTTCGGGCTCGAGTTCGATTCTATTTGAGCTTGAATCGAATTCGAACATCAGGGCAAACTCAATTAGGTATTCGAGCTGGAGCTCAACCAATAAAAAGTTTGGCTCAAAAGCTTGTGAGCTTGGCTCAATTAACACAAACATGCATACATATATATTATAGAATATAAAAATATATTATATAATATATATTATGAAAATATATTTGTATGTAAAAAATATTTTTATATTCTATATATAATATAAGAATATACTGTATATTATAAAAAATAGATCATATATATTTATAAAATATAAAAATATATTCATTTTTGAGCTTTCAAACTTGAACTCAAACTTGAACCTACTAGTATTTTAGTCAAGCCGAGCCAAAACATGCCAAAGTTTGGCTCGGCTTGGCTTGATTGCACTCCTAGCTAGACAGTCATAAGTCAGGTGAGAAAAAAAGTTTCAACAATGAGTTTTGTCATTGGTGTATTCTGGTGGAAGTTCTCTAACTTGTATTGAAATTGGGAAAAAGGTATTTGGATAGTAATACAGAGTAGATTTTTTTGTCTATCTCTGGAAGCCAGGAGGGGTATCCAATGAAGATTGCTTGTTGGAATGTGAAGGAGCTAGAAAATCCTAGGTAGACAACTAATAAATTAATGTTTTAGTAAATTGGAGTCCTTGCATGCTTTGGTAAGAATATATAGTAGGTGCTAGAATGTTCTAGGGAAATGACTAATAAAATAATTGAGTAAATTGTAGTCTGTAAGTGCCTTGGGAAGAATATAAGGTAGGTTTCAACTTCCTCTTTAGGGCTTCAATGGATGTAGTAATATGTAGTGGAATAATGTGGTTGTTAATTGGGGGGGGGGAGGGATGGGTTGGTTGGTCTTTTAGTTGGTCCAAGTGGTTAGAAACATGTATGTCTACCTCCCAGCAGGCAGCAAACTGCACCAGGTCCAGTATGTGCCTGAGTTCAGTTTATTGCTATCTCAACTGATTACTGTTTTTGGTTGAATGGGGAGGGGGCATTTTTTTAGGATGATTTTTAACATTTTTTTCAGTATCAAAAGAAATGCAGGATGACATAATGAACAGGTTGTACTTGTATTTTGTTAATTACAAAATCATCCTCCCACCCATAATTATGATAAGGTGATACAAGGCTATCCTTGATAAGAAACCCGGCCTGGGTATTACACATTGAAGACTTTTCCTTGTTACCAGTACTAGGCACCCACTTGAATGAGTTATTCAAGTTATTACCCAGTGTTTGCACCTATCTAACCACTGTCCTATAAGCCCTGGAATGTTTTCTTCAGCTTTCTTCCATGATAAATGACTAGTATTCTCCCTCTACTATTATATTATGTCCATCCTTACATGGAGACCAGCACTAGACCTTGGATAAGTGAAAGGAGTTCTGCCTTTAGAGAGTTACCATGCTTGATTGGGCTTGAAAAGCTAGAAGGTGGTCGTCTTAGGTGCCATTTGGCAAGTCTTTTTAGAAAGATCTTCCAACAGCCCAGATGGCCAAAAAGGTTTACTGATCTTTCGGGATCTTGTCTTTAAAGATCAAGACCGGTTGGCTAGTGGATCGGTCTATCAAGCTTTCAAAAAATGCATCTGAAGGCTATTTATCATGTGGAAAGATGCAAAAACTTCATTTAAAGCTTACCAAAATTCACTGATTTTCGTCATCTTATTGGCTTTCTGTTACCAAATATAAAAGACCAATTTTTGGTCTTCCAAACTTGCCTAGGCCCAGAAGACTGCATGGAAAGACTTGCTAAATGCTACCTTAATCAACTGATTACCAAAGGAGGTCCTCTAGACAGTGTTCCTAGTAATAACTAGAGGGTCTCCTTGTATCCACTGCCTTTTTTCTTGAGGGATGTTATGGACTTCTGCAGTTTTTGCATGTTTCACCTGTTCTTTTGTGTGTATTGGATGGGAGTGGGGGCATGTGTAGGTCTATTTTGTGCTTGGCCAATTTATGGTTGTATGTAGGAGAAAAGAAATGGAGAATTTCAGGATTTTCATTTTCTGATACCATAACGAACCTGTCAAAGCATTATTTGTTGGATTTGTACAAGGGTTTGCATATTTATACTTCCGTGGTTGGCATGGTGCCAAGGTGATTCTAGGCAATGGGAGCATCTAGCCACCTGGGCAATGGATTTTTAAAATAGAAAACCATCAATCTTAGGCTGATTCCCTTGGTTTCGTGACAATCAGAAATCATAATTCATTGTAATCTTCATCAAGTGCAAACTTCAAATTAAAACATAGAGAATCATGAGGAAGTACAATATTAATTAAGAAGATTGTTCTAGAAAAAGGGACGCACATTCTTTTCCATTAATCAATGAAGTCATTATTTGCCAATCAAAGAAGTGCCTGCATCTCAGTAAACTGTCAATCATTTAAATTCTTCAAGTGCTTAAGGTATCATCTACAGACTTGTTTGTTGATTGAATACTGCAAACAAAGAAAAATAAAATAAAATGAAACTATTATATGAAAATATTATGAATCCACAAAATGAAAGATTAGTCTTATAATGTTTATTATAATATCATAATAAAATAAAAATGTAAAGACATAAAAACACATCTTTTACAAAAACAAGTAGGTGCTTTTGTGAGCTGACCCCCCATGGGCGCTCAATCACCAATGCACCTTGACAACTAGGATGTTTATCCACTTAACAGAGTTTAGAGACATTTTAGTGGATTTGGTAGTTAGGATGATCAATCACTTGTGAAAATCACATAGTTTTCCATCAGTAAGCTTTGCTGTCGTGTCAGTAACAAGGGGGGGATGGAAGAGGATGCTGCTCATAGAATTAGTGCAGGATGAGTAAAATGTTATGAAAGTTATTGAAATGAACCTAGGAATATTAGAGTAGGATGATTTGGTCTTGTGCAGAAAGGATCGTCCACAGCACTAGTAAGAAGTGATTGGTAACAAGTGGAGGGGCCAGAAGAGCTAAGGGCATACCAAAGAGGACATGAGTTGAATAGCGAAAAATAATTTAAGGACCCATAGTTTTACAATGGTTATGGTACTCAACAGAATGGAATGGCGGAACAGGGTTTATGTAGCCAACGTTTACTGTTATGAAGCGTCATAAAATTGGATTTGATGGTTGTTCCTGGGGTTGGAGTGAATTTTGATCAGCCTCGTACTTCTCCAGTCCTCTGTCTGAGCTGGCCCATGTTCCTTAGTTGAGGATTTATGACTTCTCTCAATTATGATAATCTGTGTTGCCCAGATATGGATGCGAACATGGACATGCATATGGGAAATGAGGATATGATTCCATTTTCTAAAATCCTGGATGGGGATATGGATATGGGCATCTCATGTAATATTCTTGCATTGTGCATTTAAATTTAGTTTTTGAAGTTGATTGTCATTTAGCAAAGCTTAGATCTTGCCAAATCTAATTAAATTTCTAATAACATGCAAATAATTTTATAGTATGTTTTGTTAGAATATACCATTTTACATTTTTTGTGTTAATACAAGTACATGTAGAAGCAAGGTTTTTAAAACCGATCCGGAGAACGAACCGGTCAGGGGTCTGGTTCCCGGGTCGAACATTTGGCCCGTTCTGACAAAAATAAAAAATAAAAAATGGTCAAAACTGTTCGAACGGTTAACCGCCCGGCTCAGCAGTTTGCTGACCAAAATCAACTGTTTTGGGGGGAAAACGGAACTGGTCACCTGACTGGTTCCCGGTTTTTCCAGTCTGACCTTCCGGTCCAGTTCGGTTTTGAGAACCATGTGTAGAAGTATCCATGCAGTATCTGTTACTGTATCCATACTGGCTAGGGGCATGTACAGGACCACGGGTAGGTGGGTGGTATTTGTATATGGAGTGGGTGGTCAGAGAGTGGCATGTCAGATTTAAGGATCATTCTGTCACGAAGATTTCCATTATAATCTAGTAATAGTTTCAACTGGATATGAGTTTGATTGGGGTTGGACTAAAGTATTGCTAAAAGTGCATCTGTGTACATTCTATTTGATTTGATGACAAATTTCATCAAAATATCAGTACCTTTTATAGTTAGCCTACTCTTAAGTGGATTCCATGATTCCCCCAAGTTGGCTTTACACCCAAGCGTGGGGAGTGAATCATGGCGATCAACTAATTTTTTTGTTTGGCATTATCTGAGTTGAGTGACTTCCAGTTTTTATTATTTCGATTCCTGGTAAAGACAATTTTCATTTATTTCAACGTAAACATGTTTTGCTACTTTGGACGTATCTATATAGCTTTTAATGAAAGATTGTATGTGTTTTTATTGTCTTTGAAAACTGGCTTATCGTTTATTTCTGTTATTCTGATAGCCCTGAATGAAGCTCTGAGGGAAGAAGTCCAACGTCTCAAGTTGATGACAGGGCAAGCCATTCCCAATGGCGGGCCCATGATGAACTATGGATCCTCTTTTGGAATTGGATCCAATCAGCAATTCTATCCCAATTGTAACACGATGCACACACTCCTAGCTGCACATCAGTTTCAACAGCTCCAGATTCATTCTCAACAGCAGCAGCAGCAGCAGCCGCATCAACATCAGCTTCAGCAGCAACAGAAACACACACAACCTCAACAACAGCAATTCCAGCAGCAGCAACAAACTGGGGATTTGAGAATTAAACCTCCATCGATTACTCCAAACCAGGGAGAGAAAACATCTGCGTCCAATGACTGAAGGAAAAATCAGGGGATAGCAATTGTTATATTTTTTATTAGGATCCATTTGTTCAGACGCTTAAGGGGCAATCAAATTCACCATCAAATGTTTCATCTATATTCCGCCCATTTACATTGAAACAAACCTTAGGGCCCTCGGCCAGGTAGGAAGGATATTTCCTTTTGCATTAGCATCCATATAATGAACATGATATTCTTTCAGTACTGTTTCATTAAATATTTTTTTAGATTTAGCCTATACTCCTACGGACCTTGTAATGGAAAATTGTAGTCCCATTTTATTTACTAATTTGGTCAAGCGTAAAGCTGGATTGGACAGGCTCGTCAGGTTGGTTGAACCAACCTGGGCCTTTGGCTGGTTTGGTCAGTCATACCTTGAAAATCGTGATTCAAGAAAAAAAAAAGGCCAAAACTGGCTGACCTATCAATTTATTTTAACTAGAATACTGGTGAATCAGTCCTGACTCCTGATTTTATGAAATTGCTTGGGTCACATAAATAAAAATTTGAAAATGGTAATAACAAGACTTAGTACGGTTTGGGTCATTCAAATATCAAATTGAATGTTAACAAATGCCACTTAGTACTATAGTATAAATTATATTAACACTTTCTCAAACATAAACAGTTTCGTGGGAATCAAATTACAAGTTAAAGATTTAAATATTATACATATGTTTAAACATATGTATTATAAAATATTATATACATATTATTAATAATTCGGTTTAACACAATTTATAGTTTGGTCTTGTTTTTAAAATTTAGAAAACCAAACCAAACCATTTTAAGGCTAAACTAGACCAAACCTCTTACCTATGTGTATTATCTTCTTATCATTAATACATCTTTTTATTTGCATTTGTTCGGGCCTTTTGATGTATTTTAGTGTAAGGGGCTAGTAAAGGGTAATGATATAAGTTAAGATGAATCAAATTTGACTTTTATGATTTACACCAAAACCAAGGTAACTTGCCCAACCCGAACATGCGGTCACTCCTTAGTGAGTCTTGTAATAAGCCACTGTTAATTAACAAAAAAATCCAAGGCAACTATCCGCTTTATATAATAGTACTAATAGATGTGCATATGGTAGTTTCTATGACAACAATATTAAAAAAACAATAGTAATAATAATTTTAATGTTCTTTTCAAAGCCCATGAACAAAGATAAATAACCTAAGCATGGTGTGTATTGGTGAAAAATATGATCTATTTGACCATGTTAATGGGCATATTTGTTTTCTTTACTCTTTTCTGCATTTTAGCTATTTCAATCATTAATCATAATAATTCTCATTTTGTAAAAGTAATTTTGTTTATTACGATAAATATATAATATTAAATACATGCTTAATTTTTTGTAAATTTTATAATGATTTTTATGTTTTTATTTTTATTCTCTAATTTATGACATCACAAGTTAACTTGTTTGACTATGAAGCAAATGTGGATTTGTTCAATTTTAGAACATCAGTTTTTTATTAGTGTTTTTTTTTATCTCATAGTCAAATGATCTGATCAACCAATTAACCCATTAGACCAGTATTTTAGATCCATTTGCCATCAAGTTACTTGCAAAAAATCATTAGCTTGATCAACAATATGGTAACCTAACTATTTGAACTATTGAATTGTTTGACCTAACTAGTGGTGTCACAAGTCAGACTTTAATTATCTTTTTTCCTTGATTTTTTTTATTTTATTTCCATCATTAATAAAAAATAATTTTTATTTCTTAAATTTATACTCTTAATATGATGAATGCATAATAATAATTTTTATTTCTAATTTTTACAATTTATTGTATTTGTATCTAAACTTTTAATCTTTATTATTTAATTATGACATTGGGGCATACCCATTTGACCTAGATGGTTGAACCATTGCCCCACCACTTTCATTGATAGGAAAATTGGTTTACCCTTGGATCAACTTTATAGTATTTCATTTTCATTATTAGTATAATCAAATTTTATTTTTCACACTTATTTTTGTTTAATATGATTAATATATAATATCAAAGTTGTACTCAAATGTTTTCTACAAACTTTTATACTTCTTTTTGTATTTTCTGTATTTTGACATTTTTAAATATTTATTAGCAGGGCCCGTATGATGCACGGGAAAATCAAAAGGTCGATTAATTTTATTAAATTGGAAAACTTAATAAATTTCATAGTTATTGATAATTTACATTGGTTTTTAATACTTACTGGGATAGTTAATTTCACGGTTTTGATAATTTAATTAGTGAAAGTTAATTCAAAGAAAATCTAATTTACTGAATTTTTTATATTTTCAGTAATTAATTAATCATAAGTTTATTGGAATATTTAGTGTAAATAATTTACTCTAATAATTAAATTATAATAATTATCCAGTTTTATAAAACTAATTTATTAAACAAATTTTCAGAAAATTAATTTGCCAAAATTAAATTCATTTCAGAAAAGTATCATTAAAGTATTAAATTTCTTACATTATAATTAATTTATTTAAATTATAATTAAATTACTTAAACATTTACAATAACAATAATTATTAAAATTTTCTTCAGATTATATAATTACAATAATCATTAGTTATTTTTCAGATTATTTTTCAAATTGTTTTTCGGAAATATGTTTTCAGATATTTATTGAATTATTTTCAGAAAATTGTTTAATTGTGATATTTTATTGCAATACTTAATTTTCACAAAATTATTTTCAGAAAATATTTAATTCTGATTATGTTATTGGAGTATTTAATTTTCAGAAAATTAATTTCCTGAATATTTAATTAACTCTAATAATTAATTTCCTGAAAATTAAATTTCAAAAATTATACTTAAAGGATGATGTTATAATAAATATTCTATTAATTAAATGTTATTTTTTTGAGATTTTTTATTTTAATTATTAGTAAATTAACATAAAATTTCTACTAATAATTTACCATTAATTACATATTAATTATATTTAATTCAATTTGATAACTTTTCATTGTTAACGGTAATAAATCATTTGTTACTAATTATTGTAATTAATTACTGTTACTTAAATTTATGCTAATAGTAAATTAAATTAATCAAACAACCGATTAAGTGGTAATTGTAATAAAATTTCTATTAATTAATAGTAACGTAACCTTACGTTACGAATTGATCGATTGAACCGAAGAATAGTAACTTTAATTAACATATACACGGGCTGGGCTGTAAGATATGCAAATGATCCGACCCACATGTCTTGTCTTCTTGACCCGATACTCTGTTACAGTGCTCGAAATCTCGAAGTAGTGAATACAATAGCATATTAGGGTTCATAAAATTTCACCTTTTAGCACCCTAGTGTCCCATGGATGATAAAGATTCCCTAGGAGAAAGCTTAAATTTAAAAGCCGACCAAATGATGAAAAAAGTGTGAAAAATCTCAAGTTTGTTGAATGACATACCTAGAAAATCGATGTTGTTCCAAAATTTCTACAAACCCTCATAGTGCCATTCAAGAACTTCTACAATTATTAGGAAATGTCTTTTAAACTAAATATCTTTAGCAAACCAAATTTTGAAATCAAATCTCTATGACTATATCATTTTGGAACACAAACGTCCTCTAAGAAGCAGTGTTTCCTATCGTCTTCTCCACCTGGAAGGATCAACTTCATGGAATCTAATTTTCTTTTTTTTTTTCTCTCGTGAAAGTAATGATGTATATTTATTTATAGAGAAGAAGAAAGAAAAGCACACACGCATAAGAAATATACAATGGGATGCATTTATTCAATAGAAATAAATAAATATACAACGGGATGCATAATAAATATACAACGTTTATCATATTTGTGGCTATTTATGTATAAATACATAAGAAATATATATTTTAATGATATATATGAAGAAATATATTATAAGTAATATAACGGGATGCATAGATATTATACAATTTTGTTGATAATCCATCAATTAAAAGTCCAAGACACAAACCATATACTATTATTATATTTTAATTACAATTTTACTATTTTAACTTTTCAACATTAACAAAAAAAAGTCAACTAAATATTAAATATTGAAATGTTTGATAAACAATATATTTATTGTTGTAAACAATAAATATGTCATTATAAATTGTAAATTAAAATATCAATTGATAATTTATAAAAATATATAATCTTAACTTAAATATATTAAATCTATTAAAATTTTGAAGATACATATCATATGCAAATTTATAATTTTTAATCACTAAAATAATGGAACAACTGTTAACATTTTTATTTCTATAAATTTTTTGAAATAAGAAATCATTATTGATATATATATTTAAATTAGTGGATTTGATATATTCAATTTAATATTATATTCTTGAGTATTTTGTAAAAAAATTATTTTTGTAAATAATAAATATGTTGTTTTTAGTGTAAATTAAAATATCAATAAATAATTTATAAAAATATATTAAAATTTGAAGATACAAATCAAATACAAATTTATGAATTTTAAGTACTAAAATAATTATTCTTTTATTAGTATTTTTACTTGTATAAATTTATTGAGATTAAAAATCAATTTATTATATAAATGCATTCTGGTATATTATTTACTTCGTTAATGTTCATAGAATACCCATGTTTAATATTGTTTTTTTTAATTTAAACTTAAAACTATTGAACATAATCATATGGTATTTGGCTAGATTGCATGTTAATAATAAAGTTAATAAAAATTTATTTTATTTCATTTATTATCACAAGCTAAGAGGCGGCCTAGTGGTTCAACAAGTTAGACAAAAGGTGGATTAAGCATTGAGACTGGATTTCAGTTATGCTATTGATGTTTTCCAAATTGAAGATGCATGTGTATCAGACTATTAGTGTATACCGCCACGTATTGGCCCGTATCAATCGATACAGTGCGATACGCACCAATATTCATGTGTGTCGTGCTGATATGCACAACTGGACATGTATTGTGTCAGTTGTAGCGTATCCGTTCCATGGGATACCAATTGGTACGTTCAATACGGGGAGTATTGTATCGATGTTTTAAACCTTGGTTAGTATATAATTGGTTGAAAGCGAGTCATACTAAGATGTTTAAAACCTTGAGATTATATTTGGGGGAACTACATCTATAGGAAGGTTTTCAACATCATTGGCGTGTAGCATAGAATTTCCACCCCGAGATAAGGGAAATGTCTCATCTGATCCACATATTGAGGAGAACCAACAACCATCACCAAGAATTGATGA